CTCCCCTGTCCAGGTGTCCCCTGTCCCTCCCCTGTCGCTGACCTGTGGAATTGCTCCGGCAGCAGCTGCGGCCCCACCCCCAGCGCCTCCAGCACCTCCCGGCGCAGGCGCAGGAGGCGCTGCGAGTCCTCGGCGACACTGCGGGGACACGGGTCACGGCCGGCCTCGGACCGGAACTGCAGCAGCACTGGGGACAAGGGACATTGTCACTGTCACTGTCACCTGGGTGACACTGCGGGGACACGGGTCCCGGCCGGCCTCGGACCGGAACTGCAGCAGCACTGGGGACAAGGGACATTGTCACTGTCACTGTCACCTGGGTGACACTGCGGGGACACGGGTCCCGGCCGGCCTCGGACCGGAACTGCAACAGCACTGGGGACAAGGGACATTGTCACTGTCACTGTCACTGCCACTGTCACTGTCACTGCCACTGTCACTGTCACTGCCACTGTCACTGTCACTGCCACTGTCACTGTCACTGCCACTGTCACTGTCACTGCCACTGTCACTGTCACTGCCACTGTCACTGTCACTGCCACTGTCACTGTCACTGCCACTGTCACTGTCACTGCCACTGTCACTGTCACTGCCACTGTCACTGTCACTGCCACTGTCACTGTCACTGCCACTGTCACTGTCACTGCCACTGTCACTGTCACTGCCACTGTCACTGTCACTGCCACTGTCACTGTCACTGCCACTGTCACTGTCACTGCCACTGTCACTGTCACTGCCACTGTCACTGTCACTGCCACTGTCACTGTCACTGCCACTGTCACTGTCACTGCCACTGTCACTGTCACTGCCACTGTCACTGTCACTGCCACTGTCACTGTCACTGCCACTGTCACTGTCACTGCCACTGTCACTGTCACTGCCACTGTCACTGTCACTGCCACTGTCACTGTCACTGCCACTGTCACTGTCACTGCCACTGTCACTGTCACTGCCACTGTCACTGTCACTGCCACTGTCACTGTCACTGCCACTGTCACTGTCACTGCCACTGTCACTGTCACTGCCACTGTCACTGTCACTGCCACTGTCACTGTCACTGCCACTGTCACTGTCACTGCCACTGTCACTGTCACTGCCACTGTCACTGTCACTGCCACTGTCACTGTCACTGCCACTGTCACTGTCACTGCCACTGTCACTGTCACTGCCACTGTCACTGTCACTGCCACTGTCACTGTCACCTCGGCGACACTGCGGGGACACGGGTCACGGCCGGTCTCACTCCGGAACTGCAACAGAACTGGGGACAAGGGACATTCGGGACATTGTCACTGTCATTGTCTCTGTCACTGTCACTGTCGCCGTCACTGTCATTGTCACTGTCGTTGTCACTGTCATTGTCATTGTCACTGTCACTGTCACAGTCACTGTCATTGTCTCTGTCACTGTCACTATCGCCGTCACTGTCATTGTCACTGTCGTTGTCACTGTCATTGTCATTGTCACTGTCACTATCATTGTCACTGTCACTGTCACAGTCACTGTCATTGTCTCTGTCACTGTCACTATCATTGTCACTGTCATTGTCACTGTCACTGTCATTGTCAGTGTCACAGTCATTGTCACTGTCTCTGTCATTGTCATCGTCACTGTCTCTGTCACTGTCTCTGTCACTGTCACTGTCATTGTCACTGTCACTGTCACTGTCACTGTCATTGTCACTGTCACTATCATTGTCACTGTCACAAGGACCTCGGTGACACTTTTATTTTTTCCCCAGATACGAGAGATTTTTTCCCCAAACATGAGATGTTTTTTCCCAAAATAAATGAGATTTCCTCCCCAGAAATGAGATTTTTTTTTCCCCAAAATTGTGATCTTTTTTCCCCAGAAATTAAATTTTTTTCCCTGGAAATGAGATTTTTTCCCCTAAAAATGAGATTTTTCTGCCCAGAACTGAGATTTCCTCCCCAGAAATGAGATCTTTTTCCCCAAAAATGAGATTTTTTTTTTTCCCTGGAAATGAGATTTTTTTCCCTGAAAATGTTTTCCCTGGAAATGAGATTTTTTTCCCTGAAAATGAGGTTTTTCTGCCCAGAACTCAGATTTCCTCCCCAGAACTGAGATTTTTTTCCCCCAAACTGTGGTTTTTTTCCCCCAAACTGTGATTTTTTTTTCCCCTAAAATGGGATTTTTTTCCCCTAAAATGGGATTTTTTCCCCCCAAAATGTGATTTTTTTCCCCCAACTGATTTTTTTCCCCAAACTGTGACTTTTTTCCCCCAAAATGTGATTTTTTCCCCCAAACTGCGATTTTTTTTCCCTAAACTCTGATTTTTTTTCCCCCAAACTGTGATTTTTTTTTCCCCTAAAATGTGATTTTTTTCCCCTAAAATGGGATTTTTTCCCCCCAAAATGTGATTTTTTTTCCCCTAAAATGCGATTTTTTCCCCCAAACTGCGATTTTGCCCCACAAACTGTGATTTTTTTTCCCCTAAAATGGGATTTTCCCCCCCAAACTGCGATGTTTTTTTGACATTTGCTGCCTTTTCTGCAGCCCTGACTGATGGCAGCAGACACTGTGAGAATCTCAAACTCCTATTTTCTTCCCCCAAACTATGATTTTTTCCCCCCTAAAATGGGATTTTCCCCCAAACTGTGATTTTTTCTCCTCTAAAATGGGATTTTTTTTTCCCCTAAAATGGGATTTTCCCCCAAACTGTGATTTTTTCTCCTCTAAAATGGGATTTTTTTTTCCCCTAAAATGGGATTTTCCCCCCCAAACTGCGATGTTTTTTCCCCAAACTGTGATTTTTTTCCTCTAAAATGGGAATTTTTTTCCCCCAAACTGTGATTTTTCCCCCAAACTCTGCTTTTTTCTTCTAAAATGGGAATTTTTTTTCCCCAAAACTCTGATTTTTCCCCCCAAACTGTGATGTTTTTCCCCCAAACTGTGATGTTTTTCCCCCCAAACTGCGATATTTTTTCCCCAAACTGTGATTTCTTCCCCAAAACCGGGATATTTTCCCCAAACTGCGATTTTTTTTCCCCCAAACTCTGATTTTTTTCCCCAAACTGTGACTTTTTTCCCCTAAAATGGGAATGTTTTTTCCCCCAAACTGTGATTTTTTCCCCCCAAACTGCGATTTTTTCCCCCCAAACTGTGATTTTTTTCCCCCAAACTGTGATTTTTCCCCCCAAACTGTGATGTTTTTCCCCAAACTGCGATTTTTTTTCCCCTAAAATGGGACTTTTCCCCCAAGCTGTGATTTCTTTCCCCAAACCCGGGGGTTTCTCCCCAATTCGCGCCGCTCTCGGGGCTCACCGTGCAGCAGGAAGTAATCGGGGGCCGTCCTGCGCAGCGCCGGCTCCTCCGCGCGCCCGCGCACGGCCAGCGCCTCCCGCAGCGCGCAGAACTGCAGCCGCTGCATTGGGGGGAAAACGGGGCTTTTGGGAAAAATGGGGATTTGGGGGGGAAATAGGGGGTTTGGGGGGAAAAACAGGAGCGGTTTGGGGGGGAAAAATGGGGATTTGGCCGGCTCCTCCGCGCGCCCGCGCACGGCCAGCGCCTCCCGCAGCGCGCAGAACTGCATCCGCTGCATTGGGGGGAAAACGGGGCTTTTGGGAAAAATGGGGATTTGGGGGGAAAATGGGGGGTTTGGGGGGAAAAAAATGGGGGATTTGGGGGGAAAATGGGAGGTTTGGGGGGGAAAAATGGGGATTTGGGGGGGC